CCTCCGGGTGGCGGATTCCGCCCGCCTCCCCCTGCCGGCCCGCCGCCTGGCGCCGCTCCTCCGTCGGGAAGCTTCCGCGCGCCACCGCCTGCCGGTCCTCCGCCCGGCGGTCCTCCTCCCGGCGCTTTCCGCCCTCCCCCGCCCGGCGGTCCTCCTCCGCGCGCCGCCGTACGCTGTCCCCTCCTCGCCCCACCGCCGCCACCGGCTCTCTGCTGCGCAGACCACCCAAGAGGTCACCCTAAACCCCCCACTCCTTCCCCTTCGCGCGTGCAGCTGGCCTCCTCGCCCTCTGCCATTGGTCGGTGTAAGGCCAAGTACCCCTTTAATGGGCAGCGCTCCGGCGATCTTTTGCTGGCGGTGGGAGACGTGGTCAACGTGATCAGCAAGTACGTCCGTCCGCCTTCGTCGCACCCGCCATGTAGCCTGCCCACGTGGGTGGCCCTTGCTCATGCACGACTGGTGGTCGCACCGCAGGAACGAAAACGGCTGGTGGATGGGCGAGCTCAACGGCCAGCAGGGCCTCTTCCCTTCCAACTACGTCGAGGAGCTGCCCGGCGGTGAAGGTACCGCTAGCGCTACTCCTCCTCGCACACCTCCATCCGCACACCACGGGGCGGAGATGGGTTGTCCTCCTCCCTCCCCCCGTTGGGGTGTCCCCTTTCTTTGTGTTGTGTGCAAATTCCCGCTGGGGTGGCATACCCACGCTCCCACCACTCCACAGCTGGGCGCAACGCCCTCAAAAGATCACAAACCAGTGCGCCAGGTGACATATTCCTCTTTCTATATCTATATATCCAGCTGCATCTATATATCTATTTATATCCCATGCAGATGTCCAGATATATAGAAAGACACAGGCACCTCCCCCAAATTATATATCACTATGCGCACAGAGCGGCATACACACATCTCTACATATTTCTATATTCATATTTGTATCGAAATCTATACGCGCGCAAAACCCCCGTGTCCTTATGTCATCGGCTTTGTCTGGAAATCGTCGCATTACAGCGGTCGAGTCCCCGCGTCGTGTCGTTGCACCCCGTGCGCAACACCCCTCCCGTTTTGCTTCTTGCCTCCCCTTCCTTCCCCCTTTTTTCTCGGCCTTGGGGGAGGGGGCTTCTGTCGCCTGGGCGCCTTGTCTTGGCACACTGCCCTGCCCCGATATGCTGCTTCCCTACCCTTCCCCCGCTCAGCAACGTTCTGTCGCCTCACAACGCCAACTTGGGCGTCCTTGCAGAGCCGCACCGATCCAACACTGTCGCACGCAGCGCGCCGCCTTCTGTTCCTTCTGCCGGAGGTATACCCATGCGCCTTTCATGTGTGTGTGCGTGTCGTTTCCTTGGCGCAGCGGACTGTCCACCGGTGATTGGGGAGCTCATGCACCGCGTCTCTCTCCACTCCAGGATCTGGGCTCGGCACGTGCACGACGTTGTATCCCTACCAGGCCACCCGCCCCGACGAGCTGTCCTTCCCCAAGGGCGTCACCCTCAACATCGTCGAGAAGAAGTCGCAGGTACCGCCCCACACCGCTCCGCTCGCGGGCTGTTGTGGTACCACACTGGTTGGGCGGACGGATGGACGAACTGAACGTGTGTCGTGACCATTAGTGGTGGCGAGGCGAGCTCAACGGGCAGGTGGGCCTGTTCCCCTCCAACTACGTCAAGGAGAACCCCGCTGCGCCCGCCCCCGCGGCGCCCGCCCCATTCAGCGGAGGCTTCTCGCCCGCCGTCGGCATGGCCCCCTCGGCGCCGCCTCCCGTCCGCATCCCGCCCCCCTCTCGCTCTCCCGCTCCCCCCTCGTCTCCGTCACCCCGTACTCCTCC